AGTTATCATTATAATATCTACTACTATTACAAGTCTACAACTAATAATCAATGGTCTTGAATTGTATTTGTGCTTCAAACCCAGATAATTATATATGCATGTTGGTTCTTTTAGGGATTTGAGCTTCAACAATATCACGGGACAGATTCCAGGATCACTTTTCAATCTGCGTTCACTAGCTTACTTGTAATATATATGCCATGCCTAAGTATTAAATTATGGATTTATTCTTATGCTTTCATGATTGGATTAAATTAAGCATCATTTACTTCTTCTCCAATTTCAGATTTCTTAGGAACAACAAACTTAGTGGCACTATCCCTATACAGATAAGCTCATCTCTTCTCAATATGTTAGTATGCTTGACATTTAAACTCTTCGGTGTCACGGTGCCGAAAAGATCAAAGCATAACATGTCATTCATAAGGTACTTACTTTACTAACTTGAACGAATGCTTGCAGAGACTTGTCCTATAACAGTCTATCAGGGCTCTCCCTTCTTGGATAGACCGACCAAATTTACAAGTGTAAGTAGTTTGTTACCATCATCATCATTTCACCCTCCTCTTTCCAACACTTATTTTCCCTTTTTTGTTGGTTTCAAAAGTTCCTTGCTTTTCTATAACTAGCAGCCCCTCTGAGGGGCTTTAGAATTACAAAGCTCTATAACGTATAATCTTTTTAGTATTTATACTGACTAATTTTATGGCTATAGCATTCTCTCTCAATGATTTTTTTTATACAATAAAAATCATTCATGTCTTTTTATCACTCCTAAAGAAAATTAAAGTTGATTTCATGCTTTTAGAAAAATTCTATAATGCCCTTCCTAAGATTAAGCTCACAGATATTTTTAATGTTTGTTTGCTCAATGCATGTATATATGTGTGTTCCGTAAAACTGACATAGTGATTTTTATGGGGTACCATATGCAGCAATTTGGTTGCAAACAACTTGACAATAAATTATTCAGATAGCAGGTGATTGTTATGCTTTTTATTTAATGATAACAATGACAATATACATCTACATATATATATATATATATAGCATGTGATCATTATGCATTTTATTTAATAATGACAATGATGATATATATTTACACACACACACACACACATGTCCTGTTTGCTAAAGGATCTTTCATCTAAGGGGGTATGATAAATTTAGGAAAAAAATCGTGGGTATCTCTATATGGCTTTAGATCAAAAGAGTTAGTTTAAGAGATTAGTTATATATTTTTAGGTTTGGTGGCAAGTAAAAGCATCAAAAATCAAATATTCTTTATGACTCGCAATTTCTTATGCTGCTTGGGAAGTTTATAAATTTACTTGTGGTACCACTAAAGCCTTTTCACCTGGGGATTATTGCGTATAGAAATGAGGAGGGGGGCAAAAAGGGAAGGGAAGGGGAAGAGAACAAAATAGGGATGTTATAGATAAAAATGATTCTCATGCCCCTACTTAAGATGTAATGGTAAAATATGGACATTTCACATTGTTAAGCGATAATAACAAGGATAAAACACTATAAAAAGGTCTTACTTTCACGTTTAATACTTCCTAATCATCCAAACAAGGCTAGATGGCTCTTTTTCATCAAACAAACTTAAAATCAATTCCTTAATTTGTTCATACTTAAGTAACAACTAACAATGGATAATTAGAACTTACATGCAGTTTTCTGGTTTGATATAGACTCTTTTCTCTTGCAGTGGCCTTCCTTCTGGACTTGAATATTTACATCTTGATTTTCCCTGTTTTCAAGGTCCTAGAAGATGTAAGTAACTCTAAGGATTGGTTTGCCATGGTAGGAATTAAAACTACAAAGGAAGACTATTCTCACACAACACTATCTGAGTGTTTGACTTTGTTTGGTCATTTCTTTTCATATTTTCCTTAGAATTCATTTTCCTTTATCATATTGTGGAAAACTAGAGCTTTATATATGCTTAGTTTTCCCATAATGTCACTTAGGAATTAAATTAACTAATATCTTTTCTTTTTCACTGATCAAAATAGCCATCTTAAATGTTTTGATGCAGATTATGACTTTGCGATTAATTGTGTCGGTCCTCAAATTACAACATCAGATGGAAATAAATTTGAAAGTGACAAAGAGACAATTGGTACTACTACTTATTTTGTTACTGACACTAAAAGATGGATAGCTAGCAATGTTGGGTTATTTACTGCTTCACACAATCCTCTATACAACAGATCTGTGCTTAGTTCACTAATACTTTGGACCCAGAGCTCTTTCAGACTACCAGTATCTCTCCTTCTTCATTAAGATATTATGGCTTGGGCCTGAAAAATGGGGATTACAACATCTCTCTCTATTTTGTAGAAATGTTTATTGTAGATACTACCACATGGAAAAGTCTAGGAAGATGATTTTTTGATATTTATATCTAGATATATATGATGTTATTTAAAGGCATTACTAGACTGTAATAGCCCAAATAGAAGTCACTAAATTTCTTAATGAATCTCCTTGTCCATCTGTCCATAGGTTAGGTCAAGTAGAAGATTCATATGTGTGGGAAAAGTCCTGCCTGCAAATCATCAATTGAATACATATAATTGAACAGATTTTGTTTTGCCTTGAAATTTTGGTATATGCGACAATGGAACATTTTGTAAAGAAATACATGTTATTGAATAACATTAGGAGGAGGTTGAGGAAATCTATAATAAGAAGATTAGAAATCCATTCTTATTCCTTTTGTCTATTGATATCTGTAATGTTCATTCAAAAAATTACAAAAATGATGGTTCATCTAAAATTTGCATTAAGCAACACATTGTAAATATAATGAATAAAATGTGTGAGTAATATCAAGGGCTTTTAGAAAACAGTTTTAATTTTTTTAAATAAAAATTGTACTAAGCATGATGCATGAAGTTTCCTTTCCAAAGCCACAACATACTTGAATTATTGCAGGACATTCTAATCCTATACTTTTGGCTTATTGATTAGTGCATTGCATCTTTTAATTCTAAAGGAATATTGCTAAGCTTCTTATAAGAAGATATATGAATATTGGACATTAAATATTTTTGTCATGATTCCTATTTGAAATGTCCACTCTTTCCTGTTCCCTTTTGTTTTTGCCTCCATTTGCTTCTTTCTCATTTTTCTCGTTTGATTCCAAGGAAACCGTATTTTCAAGGATTTTAACATAAAAAGGAAAGCTGGGGGGCCTCTTTTAGAGCTGTGTGAAAGGATTTTTGTGCTTGTGTGTTAGAAAACTATCTAGAGATCCATCTCTTTTAGGCTGGAAAAGGGACTTGTTGCATACTAGCCCAAGGTAGTTATGGCCCTATGATTTCAGTAATTGGAGCTAGACCAGGCAAAAATTTACTGTAGTCAGCAGTCCAGAAGTTTAGTTACTGACTTTCTAAAAGAAAAAATTTTGATGTGTGACTATGATTTAGTATTCTTGTGTGTTGTATAGATTTCCTTCCCATGGTTAGCAACAGACCTCTAACCAATAAAAAGGATAGAACTGGTTTAGTTGTTGGAATTGTTATTAGTATTGGAGTAGTAAGCTTTCTATCTTTTCTTGTGGTTTTTTGTATCATTCAGAGAAGAAAGCATCATGGAGAAGGCAATGAAGGTACCAAAAAAAAAAAAGAAAACACTTTTATTTACATACACAGAACTCTTTAAACTGTAATTGTTCATCTTCAAAGTAACATATTACACTCTATCAGTTTCATTTTCAACCCATAACCTTGTTGACGTTTAATTTATAGAGCTCTTAGGTATTGATACTAAGCCATACACTTTTAGCTATTCTGAGTTAAAAAATGCCACAGATGACTTCAATCCTGGCAACAAGCTGGGCAAGGGAGGTTTTGGTCTTATTTATAAGGTGAATATTCTGTAAAAAGATTTGGAATGATAATTGCATCGCATGCCACTACCTCATCATTAGCAACGTTACAGAGGAGACCTGTTATAGATATATAACTAAAAAATTTTTGGGCTCTATTTTGTTAAAGAACAAAGTTTTTGCTTATAGAAGTCTTAAAACCAAAGCCCTAGAATTTATTTAAGAGAATAACCACTTTCTCTTTTGAATTATAGGGAATATTGAATGATGAAAGATTAACTGCTGTGAAACAATTATTTGTAGGATCTCATCAAGGAAAAGCGAGTTCATAGCTGAGATTGTTACTGTATCTACTGTGCAATATCATAATCTTGTTAAATTATGTGGATGTTGCATTGAAGGAAATAAAAAGCTTCTTGTTTATGAGTATCTAGAAAATAAGAGTCTTGATCAAGCATTATTTGGCATGATCATTCTCTACTTCCTATGTGAATTTTTGGAAGCCTGTGTATATGGCAAAGCTTTTCTACCTTTGCTTTTATTTCTGTTGATTAAACTCATCATGTATGTCACTTGGGTGTTGTAGGAAATTGTTTAACTCTCAACTAGCCCACACGCTATGATATCTGTATGGGCATATTATCTTCATGAAGAGTATTGGTTCCATATTGTGCATTGCGATGTAAAGGCTAGTAAGATCCTACTTGATCATGAGCTTGTCCCTAAAATATCTGATTTTCGTTTGGCCAAATTATATGATGATGAAAAGATGCATATAAGCACTCGTGTAGCTAGGACAATGTAACTCCATGACTTAATTTCCATGTTCTTGTATGCTATATAGTTTTACATATGTTTTATTTGTTTATGCTAATACTTCTATATTTTTATTTAGGTAAACTATAAAGTATTAATAGTGAATATCTTGCTGTGGAGTATGCCATGCGTGGGCACCTTATGTGACAACTGTTCTTTCAAAACCCATATATTGTCCAAGTACAGCTTTGAGCTCCTGTTCATATAGTCCATAAACACCGTAGGAGCATTTGTCAAACTGAAAGGTATCACTAGAAACTCGTAGTGCCCATATCTGGTACAAAATGTCGTCTTTGGGACGTCTTTCGCTTTGACTCTTAGTTGATGATATCCCAACCTTAAGTCAATTTTGGAAAACATCGTTGATCCCATTAGCTGATCTAGCAAGTCATCAATCTTAGGCAAAGGATATTTGTTCTTGATAGTCACTTTGTTCAACTTCCTATAATCTATATACAATCTCAGGCTCCCATCCTTCTTTCTCACAAATAGTACTGGTGATCCCCATGGTGAGACACTTGGTCTAATAAATCCTTTTTGAAGTAACTCTTCCATTTGCTTTTTCAACTCTACTAATTCAGAAGGTGACATTCTGTACCGTGCTTTCGAAATTGGAGTTGTCCCTGGCATTAACTCAATGGAGAACTCAACTTCTCTCTTAGGGGGTAAACCGAACACTTCTATAGGAAATACTTCAAGAAACTCCTTTACGACCTCGATTTGCTCTATACCAACTTCTTTATCCTTACTAATGTAAAAGAAAAAAGCGTAGGCTTGAAAACCCTTCTGAATACACTTAGTTGATTGAGCAGCAGACAACCACAAAAGACCATTAATAGCCTCAACTGTCGTAGTGCACAAAGAAAGAGTTACCATCTTCCTTTTGCAATCCAAAATGGCATTATTTGCTGATAACCAATCCATACCAATAATCACGTCAATACCCTTGAGAGGTTGGCAAATCAAATCAATCATAGACTCACGATTCTAAAATTTAAGCACGAGACTTAAACAAGCTTGTGTGGTTAACATAATAGCTCCTACTGGAGTTAACACTTTCAACAAGTAAGACAAATCATGTATTGGAAATTTAAACTTCTAAGCACAATCCATAACAATAAAAGAATGAGTGGTACTAGAATCGAACAACATAGGTATATCATGTCCTTGAAGAGAAACAATACCTCTAATCAGATTAGGAGACGTATCGACCTTCTCTCTAGTCAAAATAAAAACTCTACCTAGAACTGTAGATTTGAAACTAAGAGTTTGCTGCTGCGTCTCTGGACAATTACGAGTTATATGTCCAAACTTATGGCATCTGTAGCATTCTCAACATTGTTCTCGGTGATTTCTCTCACATCTCATGCGAGGACCACTAATAGGGGTAGAAACAAGCCAGGTCAGGTCAGGCTTCACCCTTAATAGGCCAGGCCTGTGGTGAAGCTTGTTGGCCTGAGCTTGGCCTGCAGCCCGTGAAAGGCCTTAAGTTCGGCTTGAGCCTAGCCTATAATTAGACCTAGCCTGGCCTGTGGCCTGTTGAGAAGCCTATTTTTTTTAAAACAAATTTCAAATATACATAAATCAATTCAAAATTATAATAACTCACCTAAATTATCTAAAATATGAACAAAAAATATGAAATTATTAAATTAACACAATTTGTTCTTGCTACTTGCTACAATTACAATGAATCATTAAACCGCAAAGCATTAAATCTTCAACACAATTTCTTCTTCTTGTTCAAACGCTTAGAAGAAGAAATCAAATATGTATTAGATCAAAACAAAATTTAATGACTAATAAATATAAGAAATGGTCTTATTTTTAGAATTCAAAATTTGTGCCTTTGGTTTCGTCTTCAAGTGAAAATTGGTATATATGATTCACTAATTCCAATACGCTTTTCAATCAAACATTGGGCACCCAGATAGAAAGGGAAATCAAGTTAACATCGAGCATCTTTCTCAAATAGGGATGTGAAATGTGAGCTTTTTAGAGTTCTGCACCATGCTGTTTAAAACCATTAAAAGTTGTTTAGAAGGCCAATGGATCGTAATTATGAGACTTTACTGCTATAATATGTATTGCTGCAGATTGCTCAAACCACACAAAATAATTACATTGCTCCATTCAATCAACCAATATAGTGAACATTATTTATAGATAAATGAACTTCCATGCCATAAATTGTTTCCACATCTTTAACAAATATAACCATAATAGCAATACCATAGCGACACTACAGGTTCTGTGACTTGTGCAAAACTTTGTAATTTCAGTATCTCTAAAAAGAAAAAAAATGGTTCAGCTAGTCACACTGAAATGCTGACCTTGTCTTGTCTTTGCTTACACCTTGGGGCTAATTTCAAAATTAAACCAAGGATTGTACTATAGGCACAACCTCGGGTCGTTTCACTTGTGGAGCCAAAATTATGATCCTAGATTAACTAAATGCCATGGTAATGCAGATTGAGCTGGAAAAGGTTGGGGGTTTTCATTGAGACTTGTAATTAAGATAAAATGCAATAGAATGTAAATGTATTTTTGGATTTTTGGGAGATTAAGATGAAATGGATGGAAATCAAATACTGAATCAATTGATAAAACCTCTTGAAAATGGATTCTTGGCAATCATAGTTCTCTAAAGATTTGGGATTTTTATAAATTCATTAGGTTTTCTTGATAACAACCTCAATAACTCATTGAGTCTAATGTTTAAATCAATGAACTTCATTAATGAAAACATTGTTAAGCTTACCTAATGTGTAGTTTAAGAATGATTAATGCAACAGAAAATCACCTCATCATCAAAACATGACCTTGCAAGATGAAGAGAATCAAGAGAGTTACAAAGAACATGTATGTAACCACATATATTGAAGCATGAAATTCAACATTAACCAATTCAAACTACAAATGTAAATCATTAACCAATGATTACAGAATCAACCAAAGTGTCTCACTAAGAATTTACAAATCGTAGACCTAGGAAATCATAAATACATAGCTAGAACTACGATGAAACTAAAACTCCCTTATTGAAGCACTTAGAACTCATGCCAATCATCCATCTTCAAGAGCTGTAAGAAGCCTAGCCACTTATGGTGTGCAGAAACATCTCCCGCCGAAATTGACTCAGTGTTGCCCATGGATGAAGATGACAGTGGAAGGTGAGGGATTAGGGTTCTGGTGGGAGAGATGAGAGAAGATGAAGAGAAAACGTGGATGGTGGCTAGATGTCAGTGTGTGACCTCATTCATACCGAAAATAAGGTTTCTAACCCGAATATGATGTGTCTGGGTCAGTTTATGGAAGTGGACAGGTTAATTTTTCCCAAAATGGTTGGGTCTGGATATGCTGATACGAGGAGTTTGCCGCGGCGAACCATGGCAAAGAGCTTCATTCTTGAAGGTAGACGTTTGCCGTGGCGAAGGCAGAAGTGTGCCATAGCGAACCATGGCAGAGGCTCCTTTTTTGCTTTGTGTGCCTTGAGTCTTCAACCTTGGCTCCAGTCTCAGGTGTCCTACATTGAAAAGCAACAATTTAAGGCATCAATTATCCTAGAAATTAATCGAATACAATTAATAACTAATTATGATGATTTTACCCAAAAAAAAAACACTAACTCAATGCATGGACTCTTAATCTAAAATAAGCTCAATTATAGCCAAAAGAGCCAGAAAATGCAACAAAACCATGGATGATGCAATCAAAAGATAAGAATAATTTGAGCTCAATCAAATTCCCCCATACTTAGACCTTTGTACTCCTGGACAAAGCTAAAAAATAATTCAAAGAGATACCAGCACAAAGAGAAACATTACCATGCTTAAAGATGAAAGCAAAAGATTAGTAAGAAATTCTTACAGGAGTTGACAACAGTAAAACAAGGATATGCTAAGAAAATGAGCACAATGGACAATTAACGCAAAAGATTGATCAAAAGAGATCTATCTCATGGATAATTGTTTCGCTCTTAACTCACTTGTTTTGGGAGTATTTCACTCTAAGTCTGGTCAATCCAATTTCTACCATAGGCTTGTAATAATTCTTCCTCTCCACCATGGGAAGCAAACTTTGCAAATCAAGAGGACTTTTAGGGGTCAGAATTTGAATGAAGGCCAAATGAAATGAATGGAATGAGAATGAGAACGGAAATGAGTACAAGCATACAAATATTAAAACAAAATCAACCTAAACAAAGATAAGGAGAGAAGCTACTTATTTTTACTTTTATTATTTTTATATCTCTATCTTTTCTCTTGTTTTTTTTTCTTTTTTCCGATTGGAGCAACTCTCCTTTTTCTTCTTCTTCTTCTTGTTTTTTTTAAATAGAATACAATAATGACAAAATAATTGCATGCATGTACTCAAGATGAAGGTCCAAGGGGGTTTACAATGGTAAAATGATTAGGTTTGCGTTTGGGAAGTGAGGGTTTGCAATCAAATGCCTCTATCATCTTTACAAAAATTGATTCACTAAGCTTCGATTAAGAATTAAAACAAGTTCTAGAGAAATATGAAATAAACAGATTTACTCAATTTAATAACTTAAGGCCCAAAAATCCTTCCAACAAGGCTAAAATCTCAATTAATCAATCTCAAGGGTTAAAAACCACATAGTCCTAATTTCAAAGCATATAATCATTTACTATCTGTCAAAAACATGAGAATAACTAGTCCAAGTTCAACCCTCATTTAAAAGTATGGAAAGTTTTCTAAAAGCACAAGTACAAATTGAACTTTCCATCAATTTTAAAAGGATGCAGGAGCATAAAGAATCTAAGCCAGGAAAAATTTCTGGAGAGCAATTGAAATTGCAAAGCATTTATTATTTATTATTATTTTTTTATGTTAAATTTTTTTTTGAAAATTTTTTTTGGGTTCGCCGCGGCAAAAGCTCATAGAGAGCAAAACCTGGAGATAGGGCTTGCTTCGCCGTGGCGAAACATAAGTTGGCCGCGGCAAAGTATGGCCGAGAGCTAATTTAACACTGACAAAAGGGTTTTGCGGCGGCGAAATCAGATGTTTGCTGTGGCGAAAGATGACAGAGAGCAGTATTCAGTGCAATTTTCAACTCTTCAGAAAACTAAGTTTAAAATATTCACAATTCAACCAATTTATCAGTTCAAAAATACCTCAAAATCAAATAGATGCATGAGAATTATTTGCTAGAATCCACAATAGGTCCCTCCCCCACACTTAAACACAACATTGTCCTCAATGTTTAAACCGGTACAGGCAAACCAGTCACAAAGTGAACTGGAAGTTGTGAAGTCCAATAGAAATTGAAGCACAACACATCGAATTCACAAAAAAGAAGGGAAAAGGTGATAGGTTGCATACAAAACAAAGAGGCGAAGGAAAAAATAGCAGATAGGACCAATGTAATTGTAACAGCAAATAAAAAGGCCATTAGCAGCCAAATAGTTAAACCAGCATCCAATCCATCAAAGTAATGAAAACACCAAAAAGGTTAATAAGTATCTAGCGATACTGACACAAAACAGAAAGAAAAACAAGAAACAAAGCAAACAAAGCAAGAACTACTGCTGTGTCCTAGTATCATCCGCCCCAGACCCAGATGGTCCTACACCAGAAGTGCCCGCTCTAGATGTCCCAGCTCGGCTATGAGGGTCTTCCTTTTTGAGAGGTAGGAGGAAGTTCAATTGGTCAGCAATCAGAGCATCCACACAACGACGGTAATGTCAGTCTCGATCATAAAGAGCATCGCGGTCCTTCTGCCTCTTCATCTCTCGGAGGAGGGTGACTCGCAACTGGTGGACATGGTCTACCAACTCATCGATATCATCAGCCAGGGTCTCCAAGGTGATAGGTTCAAGAGCTTCTGGATCTTCCTGGCCTTCTTGGCCTTCAGGAGCTGGTGCACCGGCTGCATGCGTTGCGCCAACATCATAGACAGGGTGGATGGGTGGAGGTAGTCCAATGATAGGCTGTTTAAGGCGGTCATA